AATTCTGGCCGGAGCTTCATCAAGAACTAGTCCCTCTGACTCTCGGCATAAACAAGGTATAGTGCTTCTAAACTCTCCTTCGGTATTTTAGAGTAAATTATGCCAGTATATTCACTCCATAGGTTTAGAAATCCAGCATAGAATTGTTCAATTGAGAGATTACCTTGTTTGTAATTGGCAATACCCATTTTGACTTGAAATTTTTTAGCCGAATTGTTCTGCGAATAGATGCGTCTGAAGTAGTCCCAAATCTCCTTCCCTGTGCCAAACGATCGAAGATTGTTGATCATATGGGTTTCAACAAACCCCAGTATCCAAGAGATAATTTTTGCATTCTTGGTAGTCCATATACTTAGCTCCTGTGGATCGGTTGGTGCTGGTGAAGATCTATCGAGATGCCCCCATAATTCCTTCCCTTTAACAAACATACGAAATTGAAACTCCCAACTAGCATAGTTTTTGCCATTGAATCGAGTAAGAAAAGCCTCTCCAGACATCCTAGGAACCCTAAAAAAATCACCAAATACTGATCACGAATTCAGTCTGTAGACTAAAGAGAAAAACAAAGATCTAGATCAAAATAATTGGCTCTGATACCATGTCACAAATATCAGATTTCAATATAAAATTGTTTTTCTTTTCCTTCCTGGAATTTAATTATCTAAAATACATGTAATAATCCCTAATTTATTGTCTTTAATCCCTAATTTGTAGTTTATAATAAATACAATAAATACAAGATATTCTGTTACAATTTGATTACCATATATTGTTGATATTCTTGTCATAATATACACTGCCAATTTCATCTATACTTTGCCGCAAGCAATCGCCGGACTCTGGGTGTGGCATGTTATCACATTATCCATTTACCATATCAAACCTCGAAATTGAGTTTGAACATGGTGTATCGTCAAATTCTATTTTGACGTTGATGCAGAGACCATCCAATGCAGAGCTCCATCTACAACAACAGGGGTAGCAGAACGCGGATGACAGAAAGAAAGAGAAGCTCGTTGGGTGTCAGGCTAGACATCATATACCCAAAGCATTCATGTTCCTCGAGAACAGAAAGCACCCTGACACTTCGTGTCAAAGAATGGAAGAAAAATCCACAGAAAAAACCAACTCCTTATCCCGCTGGTGTTTGGACAGTCATAAGTTCTTGTGCCATCGGATTCCAAATGAAAAACACCCTCTTTGCTCAAGTGTTTTGAAAAATACTAACGAAGAACAGAAAGGTGAACCATTAAGCAGTGGCAATGGGGGCTTGCTTGCCGTTCTAGAATCTCTGAGTGAATAATCAAGCAGTGGCATTTGAATTCGATGCCTGACACTTTGCTAGATATTAATCTTGGGCCGTTCATTCTAAGAACCGCAACTTGTTGAGTTTCAAACCAAATCAGTGGATCGAAAGGTTAAAATAGAATTACACCCGCAAGCATGGCCCAAGCATTCTGATATAAATCCTTTGACAACCGCATCTTCATCGACTGATTTAGAATTCTCGCCTTTTGAATACAACATACATTCTTCCATCTGCATCCGTCACTATCTTCTACTGGAACCTTTAAAATGTGAGTATGACTTCTCGTGAAGAGCAATTGCAAGAATAGAACGATTCTCACGCCAAGATTTGTTTCCGGTCAAATAAATAACCCCTTGATTAATTGAATATAGAGTCGATCTAGGCACTAGTCACTGAACCCCATTTGCATCTGAGGTTACACTTTAAGTTTTGTCAAAATATAATTTTTTGTATTTGAAATTATTATTTTTTAATATGTATTAGTGTTAAAATTAAATTTAAAAAATGAAAAAAATTAAATTCTATTTTCAATAAAGAGTTAGAAATTTAAAGAAGAAAAATCTCAATTTTAATGAGTTCGAATTACCATCCTTTATCCCATGAAAGAAATTCAACCGCTTGATCAAACCTGCAATGCGCACATTCATTTGATGCAAAGAGAGAGGAGCCCAAACAGTCAATAGCAGTCGCTCCCACCTTGCCTCATCAATGTGACTGATGACGTTCTTTCTCTATAATTTCACCAACATGCGTCAGATAGTGATAAAAAGGAGAGGGGAGGAGGAGGAAACGTTGAAACCAAGATATAATGGGAGAGAATCGAAAAATATAGTAATGAAACTGTACATTTGACGATAAGAAAGAAAAAAAAAAAACTTATTTTCTGGGCTGGCCCGATCGGCTATAAGGTTGCATTTGTTTTTTACCGGTTTTTGTATTTACAGTAAATGGTATTTGGTAACTAACCAAAAGTGTTTTGTACTATTATATTTATTAAAAAATTAAGTTTGAAATATAATTTTTATTAAATAGTTTTTATATATTTTTTAATTAAGTTTCGTAAAACCCTGTTCATTTTTTTAAAAAAAATATTTTAAAAAAAAATTAAAATTTTTTATTTTTTTTACTTCAAATTGATATATTTTTGGTGTTTTCGTGTCATTTTGATATGTTGATATCAAAAATAATTTTTTAAAAATAAAAAATATTATTTTAATGTATTTTTAATTAAAAAATACTTTGAAAAATGACCATAATTATACTTCCATCAAATATTTTATATATGTTTTTTGCTATAAATAAACTTCAATTATAATTTTTATCAAACACGTATTAAAATCTAACTAACCACAAATAATTTATTTTTTAAAATTATAATTATAAAAATTATTTTAAAAACAAACAAATCCTTAATAATTGTTTGGACTTCATCCAAATAGTTAAAAATTCTATTTGACAGGCCCAGCCCAAACAGGTAGCATTGCTACCCAGCATGCCCATATTTTTCTTCATATGCACTTTTTCATGCATAAAAAGGCTAAAGTTGACACGGAAGAGACAGGAAAAAAGAAAAAGAAAAAAAAAGAGTCATGATAAATATATTAAAGTTTTAATTTTGATATTATTAAAATAATTAAAAAAGGTCTTAATAAGGCAAATTTAATAATATATTAAAAAATAATTTTTGAAGAATGGAATGAGCCACGTACATTATTTAAAGTCAGAATATCAATGACCCAAACAATTAGAATTTCATCCCAAACATATTAAGATATTCCTATATCTAGGTAACTAAAAAACAATATTAAATCTAATTTTAAATTAAAAAAAATCGAATGATAAGAAAAAGGGTTGAACCTTTTCCTTGCATAAGCAATCAAGTTCTCTATTCTAGTAAGAAAAACGAGTTGTATATTTATCTATTGTTTAAATTTAATTTTTATTTTTTTAATTATTTTAAATTAATAAAACTTCATGAATTTTACTAAACTGAGCATGAGACGAGTGACAAATCATTTTCTCAATACCGTGAGATCCCCTTATTTAAGCATTCAAAACATACCACCAAACATATATTAAAGAAAAATAATCCAAGGATCAAAATAATACAAGCAAAAGGATCTATTTTATAAAAAAAAATATTATGGTTACAATTCATATGTTTTGTCTCTATCTCCCTAGCAAATCTCGGTTTGTTTTTTTTTTTTTGATAATTGTAATGTAATAGGATTGAAGTGTAAAAGGAGTATTTTATTTCTTTGAACTTCTATTATTATCTCCTAATTTGTCAATTCAGCACATACTATTGTCTAAACAAAAAAATAATGTACTAATTTCATTATCTTTTTCCACGTGGAAGTAAAGATAATTTTTTATCTATTTATTTAAGGAAAATGGTTCCTCGACAAGCAATTAAGTAGCTGGCTTACAAGTTTAGACTCCCAATGCTTTTATTTGTTGTTCAAGTCGTTCCAGCACCTGTGGGGGGAAAGGAATGATTAGATAAACAAAACTTGATGAGATCTAAATTGGCAGCAGGACACCATAAACATTTCCAGGCTCACCGCCTTCGTGCTGTCAAGAGCAGTTTTCAGTGCTTGGATTTCCTGCAACACAACCGATTTATTCAGCATCACTACTTCCTGTCCGAAGCAAGTTATGTGAATATCACTCACTTTGTTGGTGTCCACAAGTGCACGTTCTAGAGCCTGGATTTTCTGCGCCTCGGTTTTTCCAGCATCTTTGGTATCCTCGTGTTCTCTGTGTTCTTCTCGGGTGAGGCTTGCATCACCGGAATCTTCATTTTGGCCAGTACCCTGCATTATTCAGCGAGTAAAATGTTGGCTGATAGGTTGGAATTTTATCGTATCATATTAAAAGCACCAATCCAGAAGCCTGCAGGCAATGAATTGATCAATATTGCAAGTGTCATAAGAAATGTTGAATAATTTGTTGATTAATTACCATAGCCTCCTCTGAAGCGACACCTCTGTTTGATTCAGTATTGTAAATCTCCTCTGTTATAGAAGTCAACTGCAGGGAACAAGTTAAATATTCACAGGAAGTCTCGGATGAGTTTTAAAATATAAAAATTTATTATTTAATGTATTTTAATTAAAAAAAAACATTTTGAAAAGTAATTTAATAAACATTTTAATAAACACTACCCTAAAGAAAGTATTTCATGGTAGTTAAGAACATAACCTGAAGCATTTCTGCAATTTCTGGGTTCTGCCAGGGTCCTTTATCACTAAACAGGCAACCACCATAATCAGAACATGTGCAGTTCCCTCCAAGAAAACTTGGCAAATTACTGTGAAAGAAAATAGGAAAACTTAGCGGTGCTAACAAGTGAAAGGAACATTCAGATCCAAAAGTAGCATGCACATGCTTTTCAGAACAGTAATACAAGTGCCACAAACTTGCCACCTTTGATCAATAACTTCAAGCAGGCTGCTTAGATAGTTACATCCCAAAACCTGCAATTGAAACAAACACGCGATTCATGCAGCTTGAGAAGGGATTGCAATTGTGTTTTTCAATGGGAGAAAAATCCTTACATGAATCTTCGCTAATGTGCGCGCATCAAGAAAAGCCCTGAGTGCTTTCCACAGCATCCTGAACCCATTTCCAGCATTGACTATAAAGAGCCGATTCAGAGTCTGGGGATTTCCATAGCAAAAGATTATTAATTAATATTAATTCATAGAATCAGGAACATGCCAAGCTTAACAACAGCACCACTTGGTCTTCCTGGACATAAGCATAACCCCCATCCTGCTTTGCACAAACAGAACAATGGGAAAGCTTTTTATATATATATATCAATACATTAATATATATTTAAAAAATTAATCTATTTTAGGATTTGTAATTCATGGTATTCATTAATTTGTAGTTTTCAATAAGGCTTTATTAATCTTCAACACTCACAAATTGCGTAACTTACTATCCATCTTAGCTTAACTTACAAATCATATTAGAGGGACCACACATGTTTAATTAGTTAATGGAAGTTTAAGATATATTATGCCCAGTTTCATGATAATAGAGGAGCACAATTGATTAAAAAGTCAAATTAGAAGGAACATGGGCCATAACCCAAAAAGGGAGGCATGCATGGCCCCACAAAACGAGACCCGTTCACCCATCTAATCAAATAAAACTAGGCAACGTGTCGTCATCGGTGAGCCCCCGACCACCTCTAATAGCCAAAAAAGCATGTTCAACGTCCCTAACCTAGAAAATCTTATTTTCCATGTTTTTTTTTATTATATAAAAACATTTAAAAAACACTTATAAACTTCTCTAAACTCATTTTTAGGCTCAAAACATCTTATAATCAGTAAAAAAACTGAAAAATCATCCCAAATCATAAGTATTCTCGAGTCTTGATATATCTATCCTATTATGATAAAAAATTTAAAATGCTTTCTCATCATTTGAAATTATTTATATTGACTTTAGTTGTTTTTGTTGCTAAAATAAGCTCAATTAAAGGTGATAAAAAAAACTGATTAAATTAAAAAAATTAAAAGAAATAGAAAAAATTGAACCATGAAAAAACAGATTACAATTTTAAAAAAATCAATCTATTCGGTTTCGATTTTATAAGCCTGAAATCAAAAGAGAAGAAAAAATCAAGTCAAATCAGAAAAACCGAATCAAACCAAAAAAATCAAACTAAATTAGTTTGAACCGGATTTGGTTCTAAAAACCAAATCAAACCGAATTAAAATCAGTTATTTTAACTAGTTTTGATTTTTCTAAAAAAATTTCAATTTAATTATTTTTTTATAAAAATTAAATTGAATTGAAAATAATTACCCTAAGCTTAACTAATAACTTGCTCCCTCATCTCTCTAGTTTCGTAGTCACTTTTTTTTTTACTCTCAAATCTATGAATCTAAATATAAACAAATTAAAGTTTTGAACTAAATTATATGACTGTCAAACTAAAGGGATCGACAAAGATTTTGACAAAAAAAAAAATGAAGGCATAATTCTTCAAAAAGGTTGCCTCCACGGTGGTGTAGAAGGAAAGGTCCGCATGTCCCCCCCGCCCCCCCTTCAAATTCAGTTTAAGTCCCTTTACTTTTAATTTTTCAAAATAAAAAAATTCAAGCAACTTTTTCACAAAATCGAGGGCTTACCAAACTTTGATTGGATTTAAAATAGAGTTAGCTGAAAAGATGGATACTTCAAAATAAATATTATGCTCGCTGAAAAAGAAAACATTGAAACTGAACAAGAAGTCCTGGACTTGTTATAATATCACAGTACCATTTTCTTTTCATTTCTCCTTGATTTTAAAAGATCGTAACTCTTCTACATTAAGAACATGTTTATTTTTGGAGAGAGAACCGTGTTATAAAATTTTAAATTTTTTTTTGCTTGAAATTTTTTTTTATTATTTTAATATGCTAATAAAAAATTTTGCTTGAAATTTTTTTATTTATTTTAATATGCTAATATCAAAAATAAATTTTAAAAAATTAAAAAAATATTATTTTCATCAATTTTTAAATATAACATACTTTAAAAAACAACTAATATCATAATATTAAACACTATCTCTAAATCTTTAAACAAAAATATTACCTCTGGGTAGTAGTTGCTATCGATTTTCAAAATTTCCATGAAGAGACACCTCGCAGGCTTTGAGAAATTGGACATGCCCTAAACAAAGGCAAGAATCAAACTATTGATCAGGACATGCCACAGAAAAGCTTGGAACTAAAATTAGTATCAAGAAAACTTTATGTTTCCCCCGACATCAACAGAAACGAGAGAGGGAATGACTTAAAAGTACAGGATATGTGACACTCACCACTCCCTTTACATCCAAGATACTAGTGGTGGATGCTATATGCCTTTTTGCTGCAATTGAACATGCAGGGAATCTCAAATTTAATGTCTTCTCCTGTTCGGACACGTGATACTTGACAAATCTTTCAATGGTAGTTGCCTGTACCAGGGAATTAATGTCTGCCATTCCAATCCGTTCAATATATATCGGTCTTCCATACCTATCAACCCCATGATATCCATGAGGATAACATTTCTTTACTTCTGCATATTCTTCGAACTTAAATTCCTGCAGTGAGTTCCAAACAAATGAATCCCTCGAAGAATTTACAGACAAAGGCAACAGTCGAGCCTTGTTAAGATCGAGGATTCGGTGGAGGTCGAATTTAAAGGGAAGGTTCGATTTGAATGTCAAACGATGTTTGGTAACAAATAAATTCGGCCTTCACCTTTGGAATTGCATCAACCCCATATTCCTCACGCCACTTGAGATAATTCACATATGTGTCCTTTGCTTTCGAAAAATCAAAGTCTCTCATTCGGAGAAACCTGACACGCATGTAACATTAAACACCATCGACTCATGATAGAATAAGCAGTCAATAACTAAGAATATTTCTGTGTAATTTATCATTAAAACTAAAACTGATACCATCAAACTTACCGTAAAAGAGTATGATAATCATTGTGCTTCCCCGTTAAGTGACCTTCAACAAAAAGCAGTTCGCGGAAAGAATCAATAAGCTTTTCATCTTTTGGATCATGAACTCCTTCAAGGACTACTCGCAAGCTTTTGCTCTTTCCCAGTTTCTTCAAGGAGTCCCGAATCCTGAGAGGGTAATTTAACATTGACTTGATGCCTGGTTTTCGCAATGAAGCTGGTTTATTTTCTTCCGGAAAACGGAGACGCCAATGAGATTCAATGGGTGGATGGATTGTTTTTTCCCTTCCTTCTGTAAATTGAGAACTCTTCAAGTCCAAAGTTTCCTCACCTTCTCCACTGCCTCTCGAGATGATTATGTCCCGGTAAGTCTCCTTTGGTCTAAACATCTGTGCTAATATCCATTCACCTCAATGCGTGCACACGTCGAAAAGACTTAACGACAAAAGATCACTAAAATCTGTTTCTGCAGAATCCAATTCTATTTACTCATCTAGAAACTATTATATGGCCTATCTAGGACAAAAATAACCAAAATTCGAAGATCTCGCTCTATTAGTCTGGCGTTTGCAATGACATTTGCTATCAAAATTCAAGTGCAGGGTTTAAGAGATCAATTTGAAGCTCAAATGTAATAGAGAATTGATCAAATTTCAAGATATCATCTCTCAAGCCATCCAATCAAACTCTACTACGGAGAGCGAGAAAGGTGAAGGTACCACTAAAACTATTAAGGCACACAATAACGGAAACTGGTTACAGCTTACAATGAAAACAAGAGTGATAATAAATAAATAAATTTACATGAACAATTCCATAAACCATTAGAGTGAGTAGTATTTGTTGAAGCGGAAGGAGACGGAAGAATTTGAGCTTGCCCAAGTTAAGTGAACATGACAGCTTTAAACGGAGAGAAATGGAGAAAACTGTATTATGTACGGCTGGGAAAAAAGAAAACAAAAAAGCAAAATGACGGAGGAGAACGAAAACTCAGCAGAATATTAAATAATTAAGAAAGCATCGAATGCAATCCAATGCTTACTTGGTCTTCACGATTGGGTTCTAACTTTTCTCTTCGGAATATTTCGTTACCAAGTAACCTCTTCTTTTTTCTTTTTTTTTGTTTTTTCATGTTGATAACCAAACAAATTTACAAAGGTTAGTGTTGTTTTTTAAAAAAATTAATTTTTTTAGTAGTTTTAGATCATTTCAATATGATAATATCAAAAATAATTTTTTATCATTTCAATATGGTAATATCAAAATTAATTTTTTAAAAATAAAAAAATATTATTTTAATATATTTTTAAATAAAAATTTTTTAAAAATAACCACACTTTCCAATAAACTTAAAAATGGTTACATAAACATGGCATCAAGAACTTTTAACGGTAAATTCTACAACCACACTCCTTAATAAACTTAAAAATTGTTAGGCATCAAGAACTTTTAACGGTAAATTCTCTTCAAACTTCCTCAAAGCCCAGAAAAAACATGAAATAGCCCACTCTGGCCGATTCACAGGTCCAGGGTGTAAGGCTAAACACTTGATTGATAAGCATAATCCAATCCACACAGGCGATGCCGATAACCATATACGGCCATTAGCAGCCCATCCCCAGAAAGAAAAAATCCAAGTCTTTTCATAGGATATAATTTTTTAGAAATAATCTTTACGGTATTAGTTTCATGAAGTATGAATTAGAATTTGAAAATTTTATATTTCTAAGCAACGTCAATAAAAGAATTTGGCTATCGTTTGTGATCACAAAGGGATGACGTCAATAAAAGAATTTAGATCATAATTGAATTTTTAAATTTCAGATTTTAAGCTAAAGGTTTGGGGGATTAATGTGATTATCTCCCGTTTTGTATAGTATATATACATATACGTAATGATGAAACAGCTTCGGAGTATAATAGGAGCAAGAATCAGAAGAACTACATTAGTTCCATCATTTTATCTTTAAATTATTTATGAAAGGGAAAAAAATCAATTTTACAGAACGACTAAATTAGTTTGCATTGTAAGTTGTCATATTTAGAGAGTTCAAATAGGTAATAACCTGTAGTTTAAGGCACCAGCGTTTCACAAAAAAATACTTTTTTATTTAAAAATAATTTTTTATTTTTTAGATTATTTTTATATGTTGATATAAAAAATAAATTTTAAAAATTAAAAAAATATTATCTTAATGTGTTTTTAAATAAAAAGATATTTTTAAAATAATAACTAAACATTACCTAAAATTTTTAAACTCATGTAGTTCTTTTAAAAAGAAAATATTCAATAATTCTATTGAAGTAGACTACATAAACATTAAATTGTAGGTCGAACCAAACATTATTTCAACATAAAAAAATATTCAGGCCATAAGAATTTTTTAGATAATATTATTAAATTTAATAAGTAAACTTTAAAATATCTTGGTCCAATATTTAACTAGCCCAAACTTCAAATCATTAAATTATTTTAAAGTTGCTTTTATATGACCCAACAAACTGGCTAATTCATGATAACTTTGATAATTAGTAAAAATATAATTTGATTTTTTAAAAAAAGGTAATTAGTAAAAATATAATTTGATTTTTTTAAAAAAATCAATGTCATATTTAAAAAAAAAAATTAAAACGATAACATATTAAATCAAATGAAATCAATTTAGTTTAACCCGTTATATTTACGACTCAAGTCATGAATTCTACTAAGTTTAATAAAATTACTTTTATTTAATTATATAATAAAAAATAAAATCTCAATCGAGCACCAATCTAATGTCAAGATGTTCATTTGAGATTTTAATAACCTTATATAAAGTAGTCAAAATAAATTATAAAACTCAATTCTTAATATATTTTTTTTAAATTGAAAGACAAAAGGATATTATTTATACATTATAAAATAAATTAAGAAATATATGAATGGATAAATAAAAAAATATTGTTGACACTAATTAAATATTAAAAATACAACGTTAATATTCATAATAGAAATAAAAGATAGATGCAAATGCAAATGTTTTGCATCAAATGTCCTTTTTATTCTAAATGTTTTCACTTGTTTTATCTTAATGGCTCATTTTTTTTTAATAAAAATGATTTTTAATGGCTCATTTTTTTCTAATAAAAATGATTTAAGTTTTTATAAAAAAAATTATTTAAATATATCTAATTCATATAAAATATTAAAAAAAATTAATTAAATTAATCTCTTTAAAATATTATAAAAATTCAAAAAATATAACAGATGATTTAAACTAATCTCTTTGAAATATTATAAAATTTTAAAAATAAAAAAATTATGTAAAAAAAAATTAATTCAATAAAAACAATTAATAAAAAGAGTAAAAATAATAAGAATAAGCCGTAAAGCAGATAAGATAAACAATTTTGTTTCTTGAGAGTCCACTCCTATTCTTTTAAGTAAATGATGAACTTCATATAGTTTTAAGCCACCTTATTTATATTGTTATGTATTTTGATCACATTCAATAATTAAAAAAATTAGAATTCAAGTTTTTGAATCTAAAAACTCAATTTTAATTCAAATAAAAGATAGGTGTAAATACAAATGTGTTGCATCAACTGTCCTTTTTATTCTAAATGTTTTCGCTTATTTTATCTTAATGGCTCAATTTTTTTTCTAATAACAAATGATTTAAGTTTTTATAAAAAAAATTATTTAAATATATCTAATTCGTATAAAATATAAAAGGAAAAATATTCAAGAAAAATTAATTAAACTAATCTCTTTAAAATATCATAAAAATTCAAGAAATATAACAAATGATTTAAACTAATCCCTTTGAAATATCTTAAAATTTTAAAAAAAAATTATATAAAAAAATAATTCAAAAAAAATAATTAATGAAAAGAGTGAAAATAACAAAAACAAGAGGTAAGATAGATGGGGCAAATAATATTTTTTTTCTTGAGAGTCCACTCCTATTCTTAATAGACGATGAACTCCATATAGTTTCAAGCCATCTTATTTTTACTGTTATGTTTTTTGATCACATTCAATGATTATAAAATTCGAATTCAAGTTTTTGAATCTAAAAACTCAATTTTAAATTTTTTTATAGATTAATATTTTATAAACACCACGAAAATATTTATAAATTATTTTCTATCCTCAACACACCCCAAAATCACTAAAACAATTCTATTATTTCCAAAAATCTAAATGGAAAATGATCTACATTTTCATATATGTTTATAGAAAAAAATCATTGACATCAAACTTTCTCATAAAATAAAACTCGTTAATACGAAAAAAAATGAGTTTTATAATTAAAAATTTATTTATCAATTTTTTCTTTTCTTCATTGATTTCAAATAACTTTTTTTCTTTTCTCAAATTCAAGGACTAAAATATTAATAAAAAGAATTTTTAAATTAAAATTAAAATTATAAAAGTAAAGAGACTATAGGGTAAAAAAAAGGGTAAATGAACTAAACAAAACTTTTTCCAATGAATTTAAGATTGACTATAAGATTTTTTCTTGTTTAATACTTTGGATTTTTTTGTTGAGTTTTTTCTTTTCTTAACAAATTCTAATAAAGAAAAAATTACTCTATAGTTTGGTCGAGATTATATTTACTTATCAAGTTTTGAAAAATTACTCTTTACATGATCAACATAAATTTTTATATATAATAAAATAAATAAATTATTTTTATATATATTAAATAAAAAAATCAACCAAACAATAAATATAAACCATCTAATAAAATGTAAAATCATATGGGGATGTGAAATTATTGGGTATAGGAATCAACTTGATATTTATTCCAATTATTAAAAACATTTCACTTACCTGGAAGTGAATTCCTCTTTGCCCGTGACAATCCAAGTAAATGGATAACATCTCCCTCACTCCTTAACTCAAAAAACCCTCAAAATCCATAACAAATGGAAGGAGAAATCGACGGGAAGCTCAACCAGCTTGTTGGCTTGGCGTCAGCTGAACTGGCAACTTCATGGCGCCAGGCTGGAGGGCACAAAAGGAAAGCAAATCCATGTTTAATCATTTTATTTTGGATTTTCTTTTCTTTTAAGAATAACATTATTTTTAAAAAATTTAAATAAGTAGCACGCTATAATCTTACCGTGCTTTTGAAACTCGTTATTTATTAAATGTTATTATTTTCAAATAAAATAAAATAATTATTATGTTTTAAAATAATAATATTTAGATATATTATGCTTTGAAGGGATGACAGTTGTGAATTTGCAGCCTGTTGGATATAATTATATAATTAGCTAATCATTTTATATAAAAATTATGAATTTTTTTAAATATATTTTATGAATAAAAATATATATTTTTCTTTAATTTATTGACTAAAAAATAAATTCTAATTAAAATATTAAAAATTATTATTCACACATAATAGTTTTAATGAATAATTTTAATGAATGATTTAGAATTATCAAGTATAAATTTTTTTATAATTAAATAAAGATTTATTCTAAACAGATTATATGAATAACCTTACAAGTATATTTATAAATCAATAAAATATATTTGGAATTAAAAAGAGGTTTAATAGCTCCAAATTAGAATAATAATTAAAAATAATTATAATTTTTAATTTGATAATTGAATTACATTTAATTTTTTATAATAACTTTCAAAGATCCTTTTTCTTTGATAATTTTATAACTTTTTCTAACAAATTAATCAATTAATTTAAAGAACCAACCGGCTAACTAGTCCTGTTATAATTATAAACCACGACATTAATTAAAATCAAATCTTATCACGGTCACCAAGCATGACATACTTAATGTCGCTGCGGGCCGTGCAATTTAATTAAATGTATTCTATTAAAACTTTTTGATTCTGCATCATTTCATCATTTGTATTTTTCAAACTACTTGCCTAATTTATCCTTTTATTTTCCAGGCGTCCGTCAATGTCAATTGTTTTTTTTCCAAGAGTTTCTTCAAGGAATCCGTATTACGCATTCTATCTGGATTCGATAATTTTACCCAAATGCTTGTGAATAATGGAATTATTCAAAGAAAATCTCATTTCTGAATAATAACATTCTTGATATATTTATTTATTGTCTGTTGGGTATTGGCACCTTGATGGGTTAACGTGGCTCCAGCACTGGCAATTGCGG